TATATATATATAATTAATATCATTATTATCATTATCATTATTATTATTACTATTACTTTTATTAATTATTATTGTTATTAAACCAAAACACATCTAAGAAAAAAGGCCCCCAGTAGACGAAAACGAAAAGCACTGCGTAACCAAGGAATGGAGCTCATATATTTAGCATACTAGAATGCTAAAAATAGATCTGGCAGTGATAATGGTAATAGAGCTAACACAATAATAATGTACTGCTTGGTAATTATGTAAATATTGGCGAGGTCGGTGCAACCAGTTGCACTTTTTCAGTTACTGTTAACGTACTTTTCAAAGTTGATAGAAAAGTATAAGCAATCAACAACAAGTTCTGTATAGTAGGCTAGCATGGTAATTTGTTGGAATTCCAAGGGAAGAAATGAAAACGGCTATTGCTGTTTGAATGAGAAATTATGAGGGAATGGTAAGGCAATTAATTAAATAGGCCTTTTGTGAACTTCATTAGTATTCAATGACTTTCCAAGAATATTATATTCAAAGTAGGTTAACAACCAATCAATTTATCAATAAGAAAATCCAACCAATCAAACAGCACCATAGCAACAAACTGGAATTTTATATCGCTGCATATGCATAACTCGAATTTATAGAGAAACATGTTCTTATCCCTCTCCCATCTCTTTTGTCTCTTTGGACCACCTCATTTTCACTCATCTTAAGTATCACAACACCAAGAAAACGTTCCAGAAATCCCAAACTTGACATGCATTTTTTACGGAATTATTAATTGGATCATAACTTAACAAAACGAAATTAGTTAAATTATTATGTTCAAACCCCTTTAAGTGTAAATCGGTGACAGTGAAGAAGTGAAGTTCACCACTTAACGTAATGCAACTTTAGATGTAACCACATAAATATGAACGTTTGGATAACTGTCACAAACCAGTGAGCCTGCTTCAGACGTAAACACCTCTTGATTTCCTACTTAGCCTCACTTTACTTATCTTGAAAGTACTACGTTTCCTGAAAGAATGAGCAGAAAATTGAGTGCTGTGTTACTTACGCTGGTCGCACTATGCGCACTTCTGAAGGTAACCGTGGTTACAATCTTATTTTAGCATTTTTATTTTCAACCATTAATATAATTAATCTCTATGATGCAAAGTAGTGAATGTTAGTATTATAATTTATCTACGAAGTGGCGAATCTATTATACAATGAGAGATGGTAAATTAACCAAATTTTATTTCTCACTATAATTGTAGATTTATATTCATTATCTACAAAACAATGTAACGTCGTTCATTATTTTCAAAATGAATTAAAATATTTAAGTAAACTTGTTTATGTTATAAAGCAAATGGAAAATTAGAAAATAAAAGGAAGAATTGCTGCTCGGAAAAGGTTTACATACTTTGCAAACGTTCTACATGTATGTAAAATGGCGGATGAACTCCTCGGAGCCAACGGCCAACCATGTTCTAGTAAATTTAGCTTTATAAGGCAAATTTTTTTTTTTATTCCCATAATCAAAATATCAAAAGCTCATAATAATAATAATAATAATAATAATAATAATATTTATTATTATTAATATTATTATTATTATTATTATTATTTTATCTATATAATGTGTAACCGATGTATTTTGTTTACTTCCTTTGATTTCAACTGCAAACCAACAGTCAGGTATGTAGTGCTATAAAATATATTTTTATCGTTCAACTGTTGAAGACATATCCTACGCATAAATTTATGAAATGTCTATTGTTTCATTTGATAACTAAACGAAACCTTCCTAGTGTGCTACTGAGAGACGTGGATGATAAAATTATGAAGTCTTCGATTACGCAAAAAGTACGATTTGGGACGATATGACGTCACAAAGAATCAGCTGTGTGAAGACTTTAGTTCTCGATAATATCGCATGACAATCACGGGCGGGGCGGGGCGCCAAGCGAATCTCTCTTAGTTTAACCATCATGGTTTCACGTTGTCGTTGCAATCGAACACCAAAAGCAGCTGCAGCAGATAATGCATGTTAATAAGATTGACAAATACGGGCCTGTGAATGACATTTTGATTAACAAACGGTTGCCTAGAATGCTGAGAATAGTAGATTTCATTTATATATATATATATATATATATATATATATATATATATTCTAATTATTATGTGCATTTATATAGTTTTTTTGTTGTATATTGTTTTTTTGTTGTGTACTATATTTGTATATTTCTAAGTGTGTTTAAAAGATTTAAATAAATACGTACATAAATTATGATGTACGTACATATATGCATTTAGGCTTATGTATTAATTGAAACGCATAACAGAATATAACACTCTCTTCAATAATTAAATATATACCGGTACCGTATTTATTGCTAATAATAATTAATTTCATAATTTTCTCCTATACACTGTACATATACTATTGCAGTTTTGAAACCGAAGATTTAAAAATGAGGAACTATTTTGTATATTATATTTTTAACTGCTAAATAAATAAATAGATAAATATATATATATACATATATAGGCCTATATATATGTATATATATATATATTTATTTATTTAGCAGCTAAAAATATAATATACAAAATAATTCCTCATCTGTCTCTTATACACATCTAGATGTGTATAAGAGACAGATATATATATATATATATATATGTATATATGCGTCTTTCCCTCTCTGTGCGCGGTTTTCGCTGTTTTGCATCCCATCGTTATTTCCTCTATTTCCTTTTTTTGTAATTGTTGATGCAATAAAATTTAAAAAAATAAAAAAATTGCATTGACGAAGGCATAATACTTGACTAATTCTGCACTGCGTAACATTTTCTTAGGTGTGGGTGAAAGATGCGAGGACACAGATCCGGACTGTTGGCAATATGCGGACATATGTGAGGAGCCCTTCGTTAAAGATTTTGTAAGCAACAGCTGTCAAGAGACATGTGGTTATTGCACAGGAGGTACGTTTGCTAAAATAGAAAGTCGGCCCAGACCTAGCAATTAAATCCATTAATATTGTATTGTGAGTTGATATTTAAAAATCATGGGGACGAGTTGACTTGAGGTCCGAGTTGACTTGGGTCGAGTTGACCTGTTTTTGTCCAATTTAAATGAGCATCTCAAAGTTCTATTTTAATTTTAGATTTACTTCTCCTTTCAATCCTATTTTTTTAACAATGAATTTGAATTAACACTACATCATTTCGAGACTCCCTTTTCATGTCAATTATATTATAAAGCAATTGTAATTTTATATTATTTTTACAGCGCCTGACGAAGGGACGGACGCCAATGATTTGTGTTCCGACAACGACCCGGATTGCTCAAGCAATCCATATATCTGTAAGATGAAGTCATACAGAGCATATGCCGAGAAAAACTGTAGAAAAACTTGCCAGCTTTGTGGACCATTAGCATAATTTCTGGAGAGCAACACCTAGCTTGAGTGATACGCTCATTGAGCGCGTACGCCAACTCCGACCAAGAGAGAATTCTGCTATTGAGGCCGCCTTTTCTCTTCCTTGTTATTGGTGCTTTATTTTATTAACACCATCCTACAAACGTAACCCTTTACACTCTGCAGGATTCAAACAAAACCATGAGAATTTATTGGAATTGTGTAGTTATTTTGCGAAAAATAAACTTTTCTCTACTAAACATATTTTCTTGTGTTGTGTTTTTATTAGACAATAACGTTGACACTAATGATGGTGATGATACGATGGTGATGATGATGGTGGTGATAATAATTGAGGGGTGCTTATTCAAACGGGGCCCTTATTCGAACGGGGCGCTTATTAAAACAGAGTGGGCGCTTATGGAAATAGATGAAAATCGAGGGGTTCCGTATGAGAACTTATTAAATTCAAGAGGCACATTTTGAATGAAAAACGATTAGGCCTAAAAGGACATCAGGAAACCGCAAATTACAAATGGTGGTGCGGTAAAAAAGATAATCGTCCAGAGAGCATGGCTTGTCATGAAAAGAATGTTGTGAGTACAGTACCGTACTACATAACAGCAGAATAGCAGATGAAATTAGTGGTGGTGTTAAGCTTGTTGGCCATCGGCCGATTGAGATTAGCAGGATGGCATGATCATTGCAGGTTTTCTTGAAAACTCACTGATGAGAATGTGTTAGGTGCAAATTGTCGGAAAAGCAGTAGGACTAGGCTATAGAAAAATGTAAGAAGATGAAAGTTGGAAAACTGTCTGTCCAGGGAGCTCTCATCTGTCCTAGATAATCCTAATTTTGATATTGACTAAAGGAGAATGTCATTCCACTCCACACCTCAAATCATGCCAACATCCACAGTCCAGGATTGATTGAATTATTGAGTTGCGTTTATTCAAATTATTATTCGCGCGAGTGCGGTAAAGTCCGAAAAAAAAAATACCAGAAATCGAGTATGGGACGCTAGGGCATGGAACCCAGGCTAGGTTATACCGAACAGTCAACATATTCTGCAAATGTGAGAAATAAATTTCTATTTTCTTTGTTTGTGTTTTCATCCTTTGTAAAAAACATTTACCTTTATTTAAAGGCAAGGAAAATTCAGATAGGCTTTCGTAAAGAAAATAAAGGCCTAATATGGTACGACGATGCCACACCGACTGATTGACAAAATTGATCCATTTTATTATATTTTTAAATATTATTATTATGTCGACATAGAAATTCATTCCAAAATCATACCATTCCAAAATAATTCTATAATTTTCAAATGAAACTTTAATACGCTGTATCAAGGTGCTTCTGCGTATTCTCATATTGTGCAGCAGAAATTTACAACTGACGCATTCTGCAGTGCAATGACGCGTTACATTTCCATGTTGACGCTTCTTTAACCCTTGTTTTTGTGTGTACCATCTGTGTCGTAATAAAGCGCGGAAGATCCAACAACAATATTTTATACAAGAAATTGCTTTGTTCCTTGATCAAAGAATCTCATAGTAGGACGTGGATACACTTGAAGTAGGCGACAGAGTATTGCGTTACATTAAGTTATTATTATAAATGGTAAAAAATAGTAGGCTAGACCTTCCAATGCCGCTAGTCCCAACAAAATGTTAACTAGCCTAGGCCCAGGGCCTAGGCTAGCAGAGCACAGCCTTTTTAAGGCCTGGGCCCTATATAATATAGACCTAAGCTTGGCCAGGTCAAGATACAGGATAATTGGGCTAGAACAAATTGCTTCATGCTTAAAAGTTAGGGCCTACCCAATACCAGGCCTTAGCCTAGGCTAGTAGTGGCTGACTGCAACAGCCTTAAACGTTCCTAGGCCTAGCCCTACCCCTAGGCCTAAATACTTCAACCCTTTACTCTTTAGGCCTATAGGCCTATACAACTTGCAATTAAGCCTCGACTGGGAATAGGCCATAGTCTGGGCCTATACTAAGCAAAAATTAGGCCTAAAAATCTGTCTGCACATTTCGGAAAATAAAGGCCGATTTCCGTGCAGATTTTACAGGAAATTAGGCTTTGACCTAATCTTAATATTAACCAAATGTATTTTAATTATTATGCAGTAGATATGATTACACCTATTTTCCTAGAGATTTTCATGCAAATTTGAGCTACTGTTTGAGTTTTTGAGGTATCATCCACGCAAACTAATATACTTTACAGTATGGAATGGGTGTAATGTAACAATAGCCACTGCTGAAGAACCTAGGGCATTAAATAGTAGGCCTAGGTAGGTAATTAAATAAATAAAATTAAACATATAGTGTTCCTCTTTACTTCAGTTGTACAATGTCAGAAAATAGGTATGAAATTGGGCAGTGGAATCCAGAAACAGTTTCTCACACTGAAGAGAAGCTCCCCCAGCTGCGCAGGCCTTATGCCCATGGACCAGGAGCTCAGCCTAAGCAACCACAAGGTAAGCGAGGCTTAGTCTGTTTTGATGTTGTCTTTTACTAACTAAAGATGAATACATTATAAATAATTATCACTGTACAGTATGTTATTATTATCTACAATGGGAAGAAAATAGCACCTTAGGGCAAATAGAAAAATTTATTAGATTACCACTCCCGCCCACGTCAAAAATTTGGGAAATATTGATGTCGGAATAAAAAAAAAAAACAGTTTTTTGCCGCATCAATTATTTCAACAGCATAAAAATAACAATGCAATTTAGTGACTTCAAGATACATTTTTTTTAAAGAAACTATAAAATTAAACCAGTTTTTATACAATATTTACTATTACAGACCAAATATAAACAGTCTCTCCCTCATTAAAACAAAAGCGAAATAATTTATTGTTTCGATTAAAAAAAATCAATTTAAAAAAAAAAAAACGTCCTCACTCATCAATTTAAAAAAAAAAAAAATGAGTGATAATCTAATAATTTTTTCTATGTGCCCTTGTAATGTTTTGCAAGCTATAATTATGAGATTAAAGAAAACATTTTTTTTTTTTCAATTTTTCATGGCAGCATGCCTCTTTAAAAGCCAAATATAAAATTTCTTTCTTATTAAGGAACATAAATTTTTAATCACTTGTTAAAACTCTTTTGTAATTGTTTGCAATTTTGTTAAGCTGTTGGTAGGCCTGTTTCAGAAAAGAAAGCTGTTTCAGAAAAGAAAGAATTCAAACTGTCACCTAATGCTGCCGTGTTTACTCCACGATCAAAGATGATTCAGAAACCAACGGCAGTTGATGACCCACCATTGGTTCATGTGCCATCAATTGAACCGTTACAGTCTGAATCACCAGTTGTGTCTGTACCGTCAGAAAATGTTGGGGCATCCTTCTTTCAAGACTTTGATTTCCCCGAGGTGGACTCCAATGATAAAAGAAATGTACGTTTTTTTTCCCCTGTCAACCAACATAGTTCTTTAACACTATTTTTGAATTATGCAAATTAGGTGACTTTATGGGGTCACCGGTCTCGGCATCCAACAGAAATCAAAATAGTATTATTGTGTCATGATTGACTTATAATGTATATTAGGTCTTTAAAAAATTGTTTGTTTGCCCTCGAGCGCCTGCCTCTAGCTCACACAAAAATAGGGGTGGTGTTTTTTTTTTTTTTTTTTTTAATTTTTTGTTCACAAATTTTTAAAAGTTATCTTTATTTTTCTCCATTTTGCACATGATAGTTGTCTAAATTTGGTGTCTGATGTAAGGTATCGCAATTCTAGGTCCAAATTCATTGCAAAATATCGATTATGGGTTATTTTTATTCAGTCTGATGAATACCCTTTGAAAAACAAATAGTAAGACAGGTTTAATTGCAAGCATTGCAATTTAATATGTTAATTTTGGTTTCTACAGGATACTACAAGGGACAATTAAAATGATACAATACTGATATTGCACTCATATCAAAACTAACTTTATTGAAGTTTTTCAGTATTTTAGGAAATATAAGGGATTAACAAATCTAATAATAGTACATAATCTTAATGTACAGGCTGATGTGGTAAACAATATGAAGCAAGTTCTACATGTGATGTTCCTCAATCCAGGATGTTTTGATGACTATATCCATCCTTTGGTGCATGCCCTCAATGGCAATCCTCTTGATCCAAATCAACTGGAAAGTCTTACGTCATTCATCTACGAACAGGTCTTTGTTTTCATCCTGATTTTTTTCATTATATTGACACTTGGATAAAATAGTATCAAAGAGATTATTTTTATATTATAAAAAATTATATTATAATTTGCTACAATTATATTAACATTTTTACTACTATTTGTATTTTGAAACGGTTTGGAGCAGCGGGAATAGTTTGGTTTCCCAACCACGAGTTTGGGGTTTCAATCCCTCTCTGTGCATTTCACTTGTGTCCTTGAGCAAAGCACTTTAACTGCGTTGCTTCTATCCACCCAGAAGTATAAATGGGTACCTGGTGGGGTTGCTTGCTCCTGCACTGATTACCAGCTGCAACACTTCAAGCATGCAGACTTGATGACCAGGAAAAAGAAGCACTTTGTATCTGCAAAAGAAAAGGCACTATATATATGATATTAATATTAATTTTAAAAAATGATTACAAAAATTTGTGTTAATGCTAGTCATTAGGAGATTTCTATTAAGATTTTTTAATGGTTATGTTCATCTACCAGGCCATTTTTGATACAAACTTCACATACACTGCAGCTAAGGTTTGTAACTGTCTGTGCAAAGAACTTGTAGTAAAACATGGTGCTGAATCATTCAGAGACATCCTTATGGGCAAGTAAGTCTATTTCCATTGCAAATATCATGCACAATAGTCTCATTCATTACAAGACATGGGTCCATCAATAAAAGTAACTGATGGAGAGGCTATGTTTATATTTACATACATATATATATATATATATATATATATATGAATCAAGATAGCCGTTAACACTGTTAAATTATATATAAATCATAAAAAAAGGTAAATACAGTGTTCAAATAAAGGACATAATGCATTGTGAAGCATAGCCCTCAATGAATGTTGTCCTATAAATAAAGAAATTGTGTAATAAAATTCCTCTGACGGGATTCAAATCTGCGACCTCTCGCTGTCAAGCCAAGCTTCATAACCATTAGACCACAGAGGCTTCATGGTCAACATTCGTTGAGAGCTATGCTACACAATGTATTATCATGTCCGAAACTCCTGCTGTGCAAGCCGCTTGTGTGCTTGGGCAAAGCACTTTATCTACCCAGGTAGGATGTTGTGACATTGAATGTACTAGTTCCGTGCACTGAGTACAAGTTCACGACTAGGTATACTCCTCAGGGAGCAGAGAAGGTTTCATTTTGTGCTGGTTTTGCCACTGTATATTATCCAGTGACCAGGGGTAATAATGCTCAGAGCCTTTGATCATTTAATTTGGAATTGGCACTATAAAATTAAAATATTTGAGTATTATATATATA